GTTAATTTGTGGTATTTTATGGGTTAATAGTTTGTGATTGTAGTTTGTGTTTTTGTTTGATTTTTAGAAAGTGGAAGAAGGTAGGGGAGTATGGGGTAAATTTAGCTGCGCGGGCCGGGCGTTTAGTGGATGGTGGTTGATTTAGGGATATTTCTGTAGTTGTTTTGAGTTGTTTAATGGAATGACAATGGTTGATTGTTTGATTTGTGATACTAGGAAATGAAGAGGAAGGTTAGTTTGAAGTGGATGAATGGTGAGTGTTGGGAAAAATCTAGGAGAATGTGGTTTAATTTTTTGGTTAAAAATGATAAAAATTTCAAGATAAAAAATAAACGTTTAAAAAATGGGTTTTAAATGCAAGTTCCTAGAAAGTGAAAAAATAATAAATATGTCCGGCAACCATTACACTATCTGCTTGCCTATAGGTGATTAGCGCGCCCTCCATGAATGGGGTCAAAGTGCATCAGTGTCAAGTTTGCGACGACCTTATCCATCAAACCATGACATTCCAAGTGTTAGGGGATTCATATGTTCGGCGGTCATGTGATGGACATGTCAAGAGGAAGATAACACCTGCTACGCACTTGAAGGGCTTATTGAAAGGATATTAGAAAAAACCAAGTGTAGAAGGTCGGTATGCCTACAACCCGGTGAGATTAGGGAGGAGAATCCAACCGACCACTTGTATCTGTGAAGAGCAAGTAAGGAGGTTTGGGGGAGTTCATGGTCCTGAAGTTACAACCAATAGCGCAAAAGAGCAAGTTGAGCTCGGCGGTTAGGGGGAAAGTATGCGCCTGAAGCCAATAACCTAAATCACCTATAACGTTGAGTAGCTCGGTTCTCGTGAGAAGCGCGATCAATAGATAACCTGGTCCTCTGGCTTGGGAGTGCTTGAAAGCTGTTGGTCTAGGGTGTTACCTAGGAGGTGGGCGAACCCGGTAGACTATGAGAATTCAAAGGTGTACTAGTATATTCCTCGTTTACGAGAGTGGGGGTAGGGTATAGTGGTAAGTTCCTGGGTCTGTGGGTGACGCTTGCGGCTCGGCCCTTGGTAGGATAACTTGGGTTGTATGGTACCTGAAACAAGGATGTATCTGGTGATGTGGTTGTCCGTATAACATCTGTTTTGGAGATAATGTTTGGGCTTTTTGTGGAGTGCCATAGCGTATGATGTGGAGTATCCTACATTTCATTGACTGTTTGATGTGGCAGAGAGTGTAATGCATATTATACATACCCTGGAAAACATGAAGAAAATCATGCCGGGGGGGGAAGGGGGGGGGTAATGAATAGACAGAGCCAGGCGTTCTTATAGTTAAAGCTTTATAACGACGGCTTTTCAGGCCGTAGGTCTCGGAGAAAAGCCGAGTGGGAATTTATGCTAGAATTTGTATTATTTTTGGGTCTGTGTTTTGCTTTAGGGGGGTTGGCGGTTGCATCTAATCCTTCTCCTTATTATGGGGTGTTAGGACTGGTTGTAGCGGCTGTTGCGGGATGTGGCTGATTGGTAAGTTTAGGGGTTTCTTTTGTGTCTTTGGTGCTTGTTATAGTATATTTAGGGGGGATGTTGGTGGTGTTTGTTTATTCAGTTTCGCTGGCGGCGGACCCTTATCCTGAAGCCTGAGGTAGTCTAGGGGTTGTTGGTTATGGGTTTGGAATAGGCTTGGTTGTTATGGTGGGGCTTGTTGTGGGGGGTGTAGTGGAGTTGTTAGTGGGTGTGGGAACGGTGAATAATGGAGGTTTGTTGTCAGTTCGATCTGACTTTAGTGGGGCAGCTTTGCTCTATTCAGATGGAGTTGGGCTGCTTTTAATTGGAGGGTGAGGATTATTATTGACCCTGTTTGTGGTGTTAGAGCTTGTGCGGGGGTTGTCTCGGGGGGCTATTCGGGCTGTGTAGGGAAATGGGAAGGATCAGGAAATAGTTTAGTTGAAAATGCCAGCTTTGGGAGTTGGTGATAAAGGTTTAAGTCCTTTTTTCCTGAAGTGGTTGGGTTGAACTCTAAGAAGGGGTGTAATCTTCAATCTTTGGCTTACAAGACCAATGTTTTTATAAACTATTAGAGTTTGTTGAGAATTAGTTAGAGTTTGAGTAGTTTATTTTCTAGGATGCCTGCGAGGGGGAATAGTACTAGGATAATTGTGAAGTATGAGAGTGAGGCTAGTTGGCCGATGATAATGAATGGGTGTTCTACTGGTTGGCTGCCTACTCAGGTGAGGATTAGGACGTTGGCAACTAGGGTTCAGAACAGGATTTGAGAGAGTGGGCGGAAGGTTATTGATCGTAGTTTTGATGTATGGAGAAGTGGGGTTAGAAATAGTACGAGGATTGAAGCGGCTAGGGCTAGTACTCCTCCTAGTTTATTTGGGATGGATCGTAGGATCGCGTAGGCGAATAGGAAGTATCATTCGGGTTTGATGTGAGGAGGTGTCACTAGGGGGTTGGCCGGTGTGAAATTTTCGGGATCTCCTAGGAGGTTAGGGGAGAATAGGGCTAAGGAAACAAGTAGGATGAGTATGAGTACGAATCCTAGAATATCTTTTACGGTGTAGTATGGGTGGAAGGGAATTTTGTCGCAGTCTGAAGGGATTCCTAGTGGGTTGTTTGATCCTGTCTCGTGTAGGAATGTGAGGTGGACTAATGTGAATCCTACGATGACGAATGGAAGTAGGAAGTGAAGGGCGAAGAATCGAGTTAGTGTGGGGTTATCTACTGAGAATCCCCCTCAGGCTCATTCTACTAGTGTTTGTCCGATGTAGGGGATAGCTGAGAATAGGTTTGTAATGACCGTGGCTCCTCAGAATGATATTTGGCCTCATGGTAGGACGTACCCTACAAAGGCGGTTGCCATGAGGGTTAGGAGGAGGATTACTCCGACGTTTCAGGTCTCTTTGTTGAGGTATGAGCCGTAGTAAAGTCCTCGGCCGATGTGCAGGTAGATGCAGATGAAGAAGAGTGAGGCTCCGTTTGCGTGGAGGTTGCGGATTAATCAGCCAAATTGGACGTCTCGGCATATGTGGGCAACGGAGGAGAATGCTAGGTTGGTGTCTGCTGTATAGTGTATGGCTAGCAGTAGGCCTGTGATAATTTGGGAGATTAGGCAGATGCCTAGTAGTGACCCGAAGTTTCATCATGTTGAGATGTTGGATGGTGTAGGAAGGTCAATTAGGGCGTCATTGATGATTTTTAGGATTTGGTGGTTTTTACGAAGATTGAGGGCCATTAGGTGGTTCTGTATGTGGATATGAGAATGATGAGAATAGATAGAGCAAATGATCCTAGGTAGGCCTTGATTAGGCCGGAGTGAAGGGTAGTGAAGGTTTTGGATGCTGTCAGTTGTAGGTTGGCCAGTCCTTCTGGGCCTAGTATTTTGTATCAGGATAGGTCTATCAGGTGGGAAGCGATTTTTTGTCCTCCGCTTAGTAGGTTAGTTGTGGTGAGGCGGTGGGTTAGGGGGTTGAAGTATCCTAGGGAGGTAGAGAAATTTGAGAGAGGGGTTTGCTTTGTTAGGATGTGTATTTGAGTTGTTTTTGAGATTTCTAGGGCTATAGCAATTCCTAGGGCTGTTACTGTGAGGGCTGTTATTTTAATAGATAAGGGCATAGTTATTGATGGAGTTTTTGTAGGGATGATGTATGAGGTAATGAGGAATCCTGCAGTAATGCTGCCTAGTGCGAGGCGAGTGATGGGTGAGGTCACTGCGGGGTTGTTTTCATTGATTGGGGTTAGGGGCGGAATTCGGACGAAGCCGCTCTGTACTAGTACGGTTATGCGGATTGTGTATACTGCGGTGAATGATGTAGCTAGGAGGGTTAGTAGGAGAGCTCAGGCGTTTAGATATGATGTGCTTAAGCTTTCAATGATTTGGTCTTTTGAGTAGAATCCTGCTAGGAATGGTGTTCCTATTAGGGCTAGGTTTCCGATGGTTAAGCATGAAGTAGTTGTAGGTAGTATTTTTTGGAGCCCGCCTATTTTTCGGATATCTTGTTCACCGTTTAAGCTGTGGATGATAGAGCCTGAGCATAGGAAGAGTATGGCCTTGAAAAATGCATGGGTTGAGATATGAAGGAAGGCTAGTTCGGGGAGGTTTAGTCCGATTGTAACTATTATTAGTCCTAATTGGCTTGAAGTGGAGAATGCGATAATTTTTTTGATGTCATTTTGGGTGAGAGCACATGTGGCTGCAAATAGTGTGGTTAGGGCTCCTAGGCATAAGCATAGGGTTAAGGCAGTTTGGTTGTTGTTGAATAGAGGGTTAGTTCGGATGAGTAAAAAAATTCCGGCTACGACCATTGTGCTGGAGTGTAGTAGGGCAGATACGGGGGTCGGTCCTTCTATGGCAGCTGGTAGTCACGGATGCAGGCCAAATTGGGCGGATTTGCCTGTTGCAGCTAGAATGAGGCCTAAGAGGGGGAGGGTAGGTGTTTGGGATGTGGAGGAGAGTTGGTGGATCTCTCAAGTGTTTATAGTGGATGCTAGTCATGCTATGCATAGGATTAGGCCTACATCTCCAACTCGATTGTAAAGTACGGCTTGGAGAGCTGCAGTGTTAGCCTCCGCCCGTCCGTGTCATCAGCTAATTAGTAGGAATGATATAATTCCTACCCCTTCTCAGCCGATGAACAGGACGAATAGGTTATTGGCAATGATTAGGATTAGCATGGCGATTAGGAAGAATAGGAGGTAGGTGAAGAATTTTGTGATAAAAGGGTCTGAAGCTATGTATCAGGTTGCAAATTGTAGGATGGATCATGATACGAACAGTGCGATTGGAAAGAAGGTAAGTGAGTAGAAGTCTATTTTTAGGCTGATTGGGATTTTGAAGTTTATGATAAATTTTCATTCTCAGAGGGAAACTAGGCTCTCTGTTCCTGAGTAGATGTAAATTGTTATGGGAATTAGGCTGATCAGGAAAGAGGTTTTAACCGTGTTCGTAATGATTGTAGGAGTGTTTTTTAGGCTGTCCGATAGGAGTGGGAATACAATGGGGGTGATAAGGGTTGTTAGGGTTAGAAGTATGAATGTGTTTAGGATTAGGGGCATATCCATTACTTTCACTTGGATTTGCACCAAGATGAGTGGCTCCTAAGACCATTGGATTGCTGTTATCCTTTGAAAGTAAGGGGACTGAGGTTTTATGCTCAGATGCAAGAATTAGCAGTTCTCGTTGGTTTAACCTCCCCTCGGCGAGTAAGAAGGTTTTAACTTCTATTTTTAGAATCACAGTCTAATGTTTTGGTTGAAACTATACTTGCATATAGGGATGCCTGAGATTAGTTCGGGCTTGAGGATAAGCAGGAATATTGGGATTGTATGGAGGGCTATGAGGAGGTGTTCTCGTGTGGAGGAATTTTGAATTGATGTAATATGGGATGGGAGTGGGCCTCGTTGTGTTATTATAAGTATGTAAAGTGTGTATGAGGCGGTAAGTAAGATCGCAGTGCCGGTCAGGATGAGTGTGAAGGCAGATCAGTTGAAGAGTGCGACTACGATGGTTAGTTCTGCCATGAGGTTTGTTGTTGGGGGGAGAGCTATGTTTGTGAGGTTGGCTAGAAGTCATCAGATGGCTATTAGGGGAAGCATAGGTTGGAGTCCTCGTGTGAGTAGAAGGATTCGGCTGTGAGTGCGTTCGTAGTTGGTGTTGGCTAGGCAGAATAGTATTGATGATGTTAGGCCGTGTGAGATTATTAGAATTATTGCTCCTGAGAATGCTCATTGAGTTTGAATTATGGTTGCGGCTACTACTAGGCCTATGTGGCTGACAGATGAGTAGGCGATTAATGACTTTAGGTCGATCTGTCGTAGGCAAATGGCGCTGGTCATTAATGCCCCTCATAAGGCGAGGGTAATAAAGGGGTAGTGGAGGTTGTTTAGTGTTGGGTTTACTAGGATAGTGATTCGTATGATTCCGTATCCACCTAGTTTCAGTAGTAGGGCAGCTAGTAGTATGGAGCCGGCGATGGGGGCTTCTACGTGGGCTTTGGGTAGTCATAGGTGTAAGCCGTATAGTGGGGCTTTGACCATGAAGGCTAGTAGTAGAGCTAGGCCTGCGATTAGTCCTGATCAAGAGGTGTTTAGTGGGGGGTGTGAGAGTTTAAGTATTGGGAGGTATAATGTGCCAATTTGGTTTTGTAGGTGGAGGATGGCAATTAATAGTGGTAGTGAGCTGGCAAGAGTGTAAAATAGGAGGTAGATACCAGCATTTAAGCGTTCTGGTTGGCTGCCTCATCGGGTGATAAGGATGAGAGTGGGGATTAGGGTGGCTTCAAATGCAATGTAGAATAGTATCAGCTCTGAAGCTGAGAAGGCTAACAGGATGGATAGTTGGGCTAGGATGATTGTTGTGGCAAAGATTCGTTTGCGGATGGCAGGTTCTGGTTCTAGATGGTTTTGGCTTGCCATAATTATGAGAGGGAGGAGCCAGCAGGAAAGGACTAGTAGGGGGGAGGAGATTTGATCGATGGAGGTTCAGGGGGTCAGGCTTTTGCTTGGGTAGTATGTAGGTACAAGTCATTGAAGGCTGACTGAGGCGATTAGCAGGCTATAAAGGGTAGTGTTAGTTCAAAGGTGCTTGCATGGAGAGAGGAAGGTTAGGGGTAATAGTATAGCAGTTGGGACAATGATTTTTAGCATCGTAGGAGGTTGAAGTTGTGGAGTAGGTCGGAACCGTGAGTTCGAGTAGAAGCTACCAGTAAAGCCAGCCCCGCGCCTGCTTCGCAGGCAGAAAAAGTTAATATGAGAATGGGGAGGATAGTGGATGATGGTGATTGTATTTGAATAGGTCATATAGCTAGGGCGACGTATATAGATAGTATTATGCTTTCCAAGCATAGAAGGGCTGAGATTAGGTGTGTTCGGTGGAAGGCCAGGCCTAGGCTGCTTAGTGTGAAGGCTGAGTAGAAGCTTAAGTGAAGATAGGACATAAAGAAAGTTATAGGGTATGAGCTATAATTTGTTGAGTCGAAATCAACCGTCTTAGTTAGACTAACTTTCTGTTACTCTGCTCATTCTAGTCCTCCTTGGATTCATTCATAGATTAGTCCTAGTGTGAGGAGGAGAATAAGTAGGGAGGCTCAGGCTAGGGTAGTGATGGGGGATTCTAGTTGGATGGCTCATGGTAGAGGTAGTAATAGGGCGATTTCTAGGTCGAATAGGAGGAATAAGATGGCAACAAGGAAGAAACGAATTGAGAAGGGCAGTCGGGCTGATCCTAGAGGGTCAAATCCGCATTCGTATGGGGATAGTTTTTCTGAGTCGGGGTTTATTTGGGCTAGTCAAAAGTTTAGTGCTGTTAGGAGTATGCTTAGGGTGAATGAGAGGGTTAATATGAATAGAATTATGTTTATTACTCTTCTCTGGATTTAAACCAGATTTTAAGGATTGGAAGTCGATTGTAATTAATATACTAGAAGAGTAAGATCCTCATCAGTAGATAGAGATATAGAGGAATAATCATACGACGTCTACGAAGTGTCAATATCAGGCTGCTGCTTCAAACCCAAAGTGGTGGTTAGATGTAAAGTGGTATTTGATTAGGCGTAGAAGGCATACAAAGAGGAAGGTAGAGCCAATAATTACATGTAAGCCGTGGAATCCAGTGGCGACGAAAAAGGTTGAGCCGTAGACCCCGTCGGCGATAGAGAAGGGGGCTTCATAGTACTCCATGGCTTGGAGGGCGGTGAAGTAGAATCCTAGAAGGACTGTTAGGGATAGGGCTTGGATTGCTTGTTTTCGTTTGGCCTCTGTGATGCTATGGTGGGCTCATGTTACGGTGACTCCGGAAGCTAGGAGGATGGCGGTGTTTAAGAGTGGTACATCTATGGGGTTTAAAGGTTTGATCCCGACTGGCGGTCATTGTCCGCCTAATTCTGGGGTAGGGGCTAGGCTTGAGTGGAAGAAAGCTCAGAAGAATCCTAGGAAGAAGAAGGCTTCTGATGTGATGAACAGGGCTATTCCGTATCGCAGTCCCTTTTGTACGGTTGGGGTATGGTGGCCTTGGAATGTGCTTTCTCGTACGATGTCGCGTCATCATTGGAATATAACTAGGGCGGTAGTAATAAGGCCGAGGATGAGAAGTCAGGGAGAGTTGTGGTGGAATCATATTATTAGTCCTGAGGTGATTAGGAGGGCGGCGGCTGCTCCGAGAATAGGTCATGGGCTTGGGTCTACTATGTGGTAAGAGTGTGCTTGGTGAGCCATTGTGGTATTAGATGTTTTCTTGTAGGTAGAGACTTAATAGAAGTACAAAGACGTAGGCTTGAATTATTGCTACTGCTACTTCTAGGATTGTTAGTAAGAATAGAACTAGTAGGGTTAGTAGAGAGACTACTGGTATTGTTGAGAATAGGGCTGTTGTGGCTGTGGAGATGAGTTGAATGAGTAGGTGACCTGCTGTCAGGTTGGCTGTTAATCGCACTCCCAGGGCTAGTGGGCGAATGAGTAGACTTGTTGTTTCGATTAGGATTAGGGCTGGGATTAGTGGAGTTGGAGTACCTTCTGGAAGGAGGTGGCCTAAGGAGGCAGATGGTTGGTTTCGTAGGCCTGTCAGGAGGGTGGCAAGTCATAGGGGGAATGCTAAGGCTAGGTTTATGGATAGTTGGGTGGTTGGGGTGAATGTGTATGGTAGTAACCCTAGGAGGTTGATTAGTAAAAGGAAAATTATGAGGGATGTTAAGATTAGGGCCCATTTATGTCCTTTTTTATTTAGGGGCATTATTAGTTGTTTTGTGACTAGGTTAATGAATCAGAGTTGTAGGGTTGATAGGCGGTTGGTGATTCATCGGTTGTCTAGGGAGGGAAGGAGAAGGGCTGGGAATACTATTGAGATGAGAATTAATGGAATTCCTAGGAGTGATGGGCTTGAGAATTGGTCAAAGAAGCTTAGGTTCATGGTCAGGTTCAGGGGGTGGTGCTTGGGGTTACAGTGGATTTAGGAGATGGGGGGTTTGTTGACACAAATGATAGGAGTTTGGGTTGAATAATCAGGGAGAAAGTTAGTCATGAAATGATTATAATAAAAAGTCAGGGGTTAGGATTTAGTTGGGGCATGTCATTAAGGAGGGGGGAAAGCCCTCTTTCTTTAGCTTAAAAGGCTAATGCTGGTTCATAGCTTCTTAATGATTAGGATGATATTAGAGAAGATCAGTTTTCGAAGTTGGCGAGGGGAGTAGATTCTACTACGATTGGTATAAAGCTGTGGTTAGCTCCGCAGATTTCTGAGCACTGTCCGTAGAATACTCCGGGTCGGGAGGCAAGGAAGGAAGTTTGGTTAAGGCGTCCTGGGATTGCATCGGTTTTTACGCCTAGGCTAGGGACGGCTCATGAGTGGAGTACATCATCTGCGGTGACGATAACTCGAACTGTTGAGCTTATAGGGACAATAACACGATGGTCTACTTCTAGTAGGCGGAAGTGACCTAGGGGTAGGTCTGCTGTAGGAGTTATGTAGGAGTCGAATGTAAAATCTTTGAAGTCAGTGTATTCGTAGGTTCAGTATCATTGGTGACCGATGGCTTTTAGGGTTAGATCGGGCTCGTTGATTTCGTCTATTATGTAAAGGATTCGTAGTGAGGGTAAAGCAAGTATGACTAGTACTATGGCTGGAAGGATTGTTCATACAAGTTCAATTTCTTGTGCATTGATTGTGCTTGATGATAGTTTTTCTGTAAGCATGAGAGTAAGTAGATAGAGGACTAGACTACAGATTGCTAGGGCAACTATTAGAGCATGGTCGTGGAACCCTATTAGTTCTTCTATGATAGGTGAAGCAGCGTCTTGGAAGTTAAGTTGTGAGTGGTTGGCCATTGTAGTGGAGGTGTGCTGGGCTTTCACCTGCAATTTAGTCTTGACAAGGCTATGTAATTGTTTTACTAACACCTCTATGAGAAAGAAGCATAAGTGGTTTATGCGGTTGGCTTGAAACCAACATATGGGGGTTCGACTCCTTCCTTTCTTGAACTTGGACGAAGGCAGGTTCTTCGAAGGTGTGGAATGGAGGCGGGCAGCCGTGGATTCATTCAACGTTAGTGCTTGTTAGTTCTGGTTGTGTGGCTTTGCGTTTGGATGCGAAGGCTTCTCAGATGATGAATACTAGTATGATTACGGCTGTTAGGGAGATAAGGGATCCTACTGAGGAGATGGTATTTCATAGTGTGTAGGCGTCTGGGTAGTCTGAGTATCGTCGTGGCATTCCAGCTAGGCCTAAGAAATGTTGGGGGAAGAAGGTTAAGTTTACGCCTACGAATATTACTCCGAAGTGTGTTTTAGCTCATGTTGAGTGAAGGGTGTATCCGGTGAACAGGGGGAATCAGTGTGTGAAGCCAGCTAGAATTGCGAATACTGCTCCTATTGACAGGACATAGTGGAAGTGAGCTACTACGTAGTAAGTGTCGTGTAGAGCGATATCTAGTGAAGAGTTTGCTAGTACGATTCCTGTTAGTCCTCCAATGGTGAATAGGAAGATGAATCCTAGGGCTCATAACATTGGTGGGTCTCATTTGATTGTTCCTCCGTGGAGGGTGGCTAATCAGCTGAATACTTTAATGCCTGTTGGGATGGCAATGATTATTGTAGCAGATGTGAAGTATGCTCGAGTATCGACGTCCATTCCTACTGTGAACATGTGGTGGGCTCAGACAATAAAGCCCAGGAAGCCAATAGATAGCATGGCTCATACTATTCCTATGTAGCCGAATGGTTCTTTTTTTCCTGCGTAGTAGGTTACGACGTGTGAGATGATTCCAAATCCTGGCAGGATTAGGATATACACTTCTGGGTGTCCGAAGAATCAGAAGAGGTGTTGGTATAGTACTGGGTCTCCTCCTCCCGCGGGGTCGAAGAATGTAGTGTTGAGGTTACGGTCTGTGAGAAGCATTGTAATACCTGCGGCTAGGACTGGCAGTGATAGAAGTAGGAGTACTGCAGTGATTAGTACGGATCAAACAAACAGAGGGGTTTGGTATTGTGAGAGGGCAGGAGGTTTTATGTTGATTGCTGTTGTGATAAAGTTGATTGCGCCTAGGATTGAGGAGATGCCGGCTAGGTGTAGGGAGAAGATTGCTAGGTCTACTGAGGCTCCGGCGTGGGCTAAATTACCAGCTAGCGGCGGATACACTGTTCAGCCTGTACCTACACCTGCTTCTACTGTAGAGGATGCTAGTAAAAGAAGGAAAGATGGAGGTAGTAGTCAGAAGCTTATGTTGTTTATTCGTGGGAATGCTATGTCCGGTGCTCCAATTATTAGGGGAACTAGTCAGTTTCCAAATCCTCCAATCATAATTGGCATAACTATGAAGAAAATTATTACGAAGGCGTGGGCTGTAACGACTACGTTGTATACTTGATCGTCTCCTAGAAGAGCTCCTGGTTGTCCCAGTTCTGCTCGAATGAGAAGACTTAGGGCGGTACCTACTATTCCGGCTCATGCGCCGAAGATTAGGTACAGAGTTCCGATATCTTTGTGGTTGGTTGAGAATAGTCATCGGGTAATGAATGTCATAGGTAAGATGGCTGAGTGTATAAGCGTTAGGCTGTAGTCCTTTTTACAGAGGTTTAATTCCTCTTCTTATCGGCTCTGTAGTGAAATTCATAGTGAGTTGCAAGCTCATTGATGTGCATTAATTATGTACCGGGGCCTTAGGCAGAAGCCTGTTTGGTTTAGGGCATATAGCTGTTAACTATAGTATCGTGGGATCGAAGCCCATCTGTCTAGGGAATTAGGGTAAGGTCCTAGCTTAATTAAAGTATCTGAGTTGCATTCAGGGGATGCAGGGTAGTATCCTGCGGACTTTAGCAGAAACTAAGAGAGTTTCACTCTTGTTTAAGGCTTTGAAGGCCTTCGGTTTAGGTAATCCTAAGTTTCTTAAATAATAGTGAGGATCATGGGGGAGATGGGGAGAAGGATAATAGACATAGTAGCCAAGATAGCGACTAGGATGTTAGTTGGTTTATTAGTGTGCCACAGTTTCATGTGATTTGTGGTGTGTGGGGGGAGTGTGATTGTTGTGCAGTATGCTAGGCGTAAATAGAAGAACAGTCCTAGTAAGGAGAGGAGGGAGAGGATTGTCGCTGCTGGAGCTATGTCTTGCTTAGTTAGCTCTTGAATAATGAGTCACTTGGGTAGGAATCCTGTTAGTGGGGGGAGTCCTGCAAGTGAGAGTAGGGTTAGAAGCAGTATTGCGTTTAATGAGGGCACTTTGGTTCATGCAGTTATTAGGGTGGATAGTTTTAGGACTTTGATTGAGTTTAGGGCGAGGAATACTGTTGCAGTTATTAGGCTGTATAGGTAGAAGTTGAGTAAAGTGAGTTTTGGGTTGTAGACAATAATGATTGTTATTCAGCCTAGGTGGGAGATGGAGGAGAAGGCTAGAATTTTTCGGATTTGTGTTTGGTTGAGGCCCATTCACCCTCCTAGAGCTGTTGAAAGGATAGCTATGGTAGTCAGGAGGGTAGTGTTTAGGGAGGGTGAAGTTATATAGAGTAGTGTGATTGGTGGAAGTTTTATGGCGGTAGATAGCAGGAGTCCTGTGGTGAGAGGAGAGCCTTGAAGTACTTCTGGGAATCAGAAATGGAATGGTACCAGTCCTAGTTTTATTGCAATTGCTGAAGTTAGGATTAAACATGAGACTGGGTGTGTGAGTTGAGTAATGTCCCACTGTCCAGTGTGTCATGCGTTAGTCATACTGGAGAATAGGACTAGAGCGGAAGCGGCTGCTTGTACTAGGAAGTACTTAGTGGCAGCTTCAATAGCTCGGGGGTGGTGAGATTTTGAGATCAGAGGCAGGATGGCAAGTGTGTTGATTTCAAGGCCTGTTCAGGCTATAATTCAGTGGTTGCTTGATATTGTAATGGTTGTTCCCAGTAGTAGGCTGAAAATAAATACTAGTTTTGCTTGGGGGTTAATTAGCAGGGGAAGGAGTTGAACCATCATTTTCGGGGTATGGGCCCGATAGCTTGTTTAGCTGACCCTACTAGAAAGTAATATAAGGGAAGTATGGAGGATTTTGATTCCTCTAGTGTAGGTTCGATTCCTGCTTTTCTAAGGGTTAAGGAAATGAGAGGACTGGTGTACCTCCATGTTCACTTTATCATAGTGACCCTTAGTGTTCAGGCACATTTCCAGGGCCCTTAAATAGGGTGGTAGGCCTGCGTAGCAAATTGGTATGCTAGTGTGTCACAGGCATAGGGCTAGTGTGAGTGGTAGGAAGTTTTTTCATAATAGATGCATTAGCTGGTCGTATCGAAATCGGGGGTAGGAGGCACGGACTCATAGGAATCCTGCTGATAGAAGTAACGCTTTTGTAGCTAATACAATGGGGAATAACTCTTGAGGTGGGTTTAGGAAGCTTGGGTTGAAGAACAGGATGGCGGTCAGTGTGTTCATAAGTATGATATTAGCATATTCAGCTAGGAAGAAAAGGGCGAAGGGGCCTGCTGCGTATTCTACGTTGAATCCGGAAACTAGCTCTGACTCCCCCTCTGTCAGGTCAAAGGGAGCACGGTTAGTTTCGGCAAGTGTGGATACATATCATATTATAGCAAGAGGTCAGCATGAAAAGATTAGGTAAAGGGGCTCTTGGGTGACTGCAAGGGTGCCAAGGGTGTAGTTTCCGCTTAATAGAATCACAGATAGCAGGATAATTGCTAGGGTCACTTCGTAGGAGATTGTCTGGGCTACTGCTCGTAGTGCCCCGATTAGGGCATATTTTGAGTTGGAAGCTCACCCTGATCACAGGATGGAATATACTGCTAGGCTTGATATGGCTAATAGAAATAGTAGGCCTAGGTTTAGGTCTGCTAGGGAGAATGGGAGAGGAAGTGGGGTTCAAACGGAGATTGCCAGTAGGAGGGCTAATATCGGGGTTATGAGGAATATAATTGGGGAGGAGGTTGAGGGTCGAATAGGCTCTTTGATGAATAATTTTACTCCGTCTGCTAGGGGCTGCAGAAGTCCGAAAGGGCCTACGACATTTGGGCCTTTTCGGCCTTGTATGTAGCTTAGGATTTTGCGTTCTACCAGTGTTAGGAAGGCTACTGCGATTAAGATGGGTAGGGCATAGGAGAGGGCTATGATAAAGTTAATTAGGATGGGGTAGTTTGTCATGTTTATATGTTGGTTTAGGTTAAGCTAGGGAGAGGATTTGAACCTCTGAGTTAAAGGACTTAAGCCTTTTGCATTTTCCGAGCTCTGCCACGCTAGCTAATCCTTTTCTTGGATGTAGTGTGGTGTGATAGCTTTTTGTGATTCAGTTGGCTTCATCACTTAAGGCGAAGGCTTGCTTGAAGTATTGGCCTCACTTTTCCTATCCTTTCGTACTGGGAAGAGTTCATCATAGATAGAAACCGACCTGGATTACTCCGGTCTGAACTCAGATCACGTAGGACTGTTAATCGTTGAACAAACGAACCCTTAGTAGCGGCTGCACCACTAGGATGTCCTGATCCAACATCGAGGTCGTAAACCTCCTCGTCGATACGGACTCTCGGAGGAGATTGCGCTGTTATCCCTGGGGTAGCTTGGTCCATTGATCAATTATATTGGGTCTGGGTGCTATTAGCACGTTGAGGGGTTGCTCTTAGTCTAGAGGTGTGGTCTAATTTTTGGAGGATCTGTTTTTCTCCAAGGTCGCCCCAACCGAAAAACGCGAATCAGTGGCTTATGTGATAGTGTGCCCGATGGGTGAGTGTGTATTATAAGGTGATTGCTGGTTTTAAAGTTCCACAGGGTCTTCTCGTCTTATGGGTTTATCCCTGCTTTTGTACAGGGAGATCAATTTCACCGATTGCCTGTAAGAGACAGTTAAGACCTCGTTTAGCCATTCATACTAGTCTCGATTTATGGGACAATTGATTGCGCTACCTTTGCACGGTTAGGATACCGCGGCCGTTGAACGTGAGTCACCGGGCAGGCATCACCTTCAATACTTGTTTTTGGTGCCGAAGGCTATGTTTTTGGTAAACAGTCGGGCCTTGACGGTTTGCCTAGTTCCTTTTACAGGTTTTAATCTTTCTTAATGGACGCTCCTCTGTTGGGTTAACAAAATACTTAATACTCTGCTTGTTTGATTGGTCGTATATTGGTGGTTTGTTAATAATGTACAGATGTAAGCTTGCGTCGTAGAGGGAGGACCCTGGTTACTCATTCTAGCATTAATTCTCCTATTTAAGTATAGGTTAGCCCGTTAGTGGGGAGGGAGTCGCAAGGTTTTTATATTTTTAGGGTACTGAGCTTTAACGCACTCTTTGTTGATGGCTGCTTGAGGGCCCACATTAAGGTTTGGGGTTTAATGCTTATCCGCTTGTGGAGATTGTATTCTTTTTTAAAGGAGCTGTCCCTCCTTTAAATTGCCCTTAATTCGCTTCATTAGGGTTTGTTAATTTTCCTTGGAGAAGAATTAAGAGTGAACTTAGATTCGTTTCACAGGCAACCAGCTATCACCCAGCTCGGTTGGCTTTTCACCTCTACTAACAAGTCATCCCACTCTTTTGCCACAGAGACGGGTTCGCTCAATAATAGCTGCTCGTAAGTAGCTCGCTTGGGTTTCGGGGTGGCAAACTTAAATTCATTTTGCTTGGTTTTTCTTGCTAGACCATGATGCAAAAGGTACAAGGGTTGATCTTTGCTATTTATAGCTTGTCTTTTTCACTGCTATTTCATCTTTCCCTTACGGTACGTGGTCTCTATAGCTCCAATGGTGTCTTTTCTATCGCCTATACTGGGACTAGTAAATGCTTTAGTTGAGTGTGGAGGAGTAGCTTTGTTATTCCAGGTCATGTCGATTGGGCTAGAGTTTGGCATCAAGACGACTTGTGGTTAGCAAATATCTTTCAGGTGTAAGCTGAATGCTTTTATTTAAGCTACGTCTTGGTGTTCTAAGTGCACCTTCCGGTACACTTACCTTGTTACGACTTACCTCATCTTTGGCTGGATAGCTTATTAATTTATTGGGGGGGGGGGGGGGCGCCTGTGAGGAGGGTGACGGGCGGTATGTACGTGCCCCAGAGCCGGCTTAAAGAGGGCTCGATTGTCCCACTTTACTGCTAAATCCGCCTTCTAGAGACCATTTCAGGTCTCTTTGCCGTTATGTTCTAATTTAGAAAATGTAGCCCATTGCTTCCATTCCATAGGCTATACCTTGACCTGTCTTATTAGCGGGGTGGGGCTATTGCGCTCACTGTTGGGCTTTCAGGGGAGGTGGGCTGGCGACGGCGGTATGTAGGCTGTTTTGGCAAGGAATGGTCAGGTATATCGTGGATCATCGATTACAGAACAGGCTCCTCTAGGTGGGTTTGGGACACCGCCAAGTCCTTAGAGTTTTAAGCGTTAGTGCTCGTAGTTCTCGGGCGGATGCTTTGGTAGGGTTAAGCATCAAGATTTAGGGCCAGGCATAGTGGGGTATCTAATCCCAGTTTGGGCCCTGGCTTTCGTGGATTTCAATTAATCGTTGTCCTAAGATCTTCTTTGTGAGGAGGCCTTACTGGCATCTTGGGCTTATGACGGCTCAGTTGCTCTTTAATCTTAGTTACTTGGATAACATGTGACCACGCTTTACGCCGTTATAAAGTTAATTTGGGTCTCCTGTCTGACCGCGGTGGCTGGCACAGGATTTACCGACCCTAATTTGCTATGGCTAAGTCAAGTTTACACTCATTGCTTAATGTTAACTACTGCTGAGTACCCGTGGGGGTGTGGCAATTGCGAGGCGTTTTGGGCTACGGTGATGGTGAGCCTGATACCCGCTCCTATCTACCTGAGTTAAGGTGTCCAGGGCGTTTACACTGGGACGCGGATACTTGCATGTATATACCTAGCAAAAACTAACAGTAAGGTTAGGACTAAGTCTTTTGTCCTTGGGTGTGTGGGGCAGCCATCTTGACATCTTCAGTGTCATGCTTTTTATAAGCTACAAGGAC